ACCACAGCTAGGGCCTAGGGTTTAATTGTAGAGTGTCCCTGCACCCCCTTTGCGTGGTACCCCGCTGCGCATAGGCCCCTTTTTACTACCGAACATCATACTCTAATTATGGCTTGCATTAATCCCGAAAGCTACATTGTTTATGAGAAATAAGTGGTACACATTGCTTGCGCTCTTGACCTCTGGCATTTGGTGTGCAGTGCCGTGCCTGGCTTTGCATCCCGTCCCCGCGATTCGAGCTGGCTCGAATCATGCCAAAGTCGGAATGCACATCAGACGTAGAATCCAATAGCCTGCGAAACGATTCCTTCTGCATGTGTTCAATCACCCGAAATGATTCACGTCATCTGCTTGGCTTGGCAGACACGTTCAAGGAAACGAGATATAGAGATTGAGACCGGTCTTTCAAACTTTCCATGGCTGCTAGAGCCAGCAATGATGCGGTCGTGTGCGCTCATGGCGCTGATGATGACGATGAGTTTGGTGGTGCTGGCGGGGTTGGCGACGTGCCAGATGACGAGGGTATGGGGGTCGATGAGGGCAGCGGCGATGATGAGCCGACAGTGACAGAGTTGAAGAACCCGTTTGCCCCGACGAGCGACGCAGCTGCAACAAGGGCTTGCGCAGCAGTTTGATCTGTGAGCATGCAGGTGACATGCTGTTGGTCTTAGTAAACTTAGGAGAGTTGCGATGTCCGGACTTTTTGCTCACTGTGTACCCCAGCTTGGATGACGAGCTCCAGTGTCAGTGGTCTGCAAAGCAAGTAACGAAACTCCTGTGTCCGGGGGAAGACACAGACGAGCGTCGAGACGAGAAGTTGCGCATCTTGTATTGATGTTGCCTGAACCAGCGTCACGCCATCAGCGTAGTTGATGCTGCTTGATCTGACATAACCATAAGGTAAGTTCTGGAACAAGAATGAGAAAGTGATTCTGGATATGCATGCAGAGATCTGGCCGGGTTCGCAACCTCGGCTTTTGCGACCGCCGAAGGATACCACGAAGAAGCCGGAGCATGACGACAAAGACCCAGCCACTTGGTCGGAGAGCTAGCTGAAATCTTAGATGTCGCTGGTTCTGCCTATTTCTCTTTGCCAAGTGACTAAGGGCAAACTATTAGATGAGAAGGTGTTGCCTACGACGGTCTTCATTGCCAGCCTGATTTGGGGAATAGCTGGTAAGCGACGTGATCCAGGGAATCGACAGCTTTGTTGCCAGTGCCTTTCGATATTGGTTGATGCGTGCTGTCGAGCCGGCGGCTTCCATGTCAAGTTCTTTTGCATGACTGATTTGCCGCCACCAGGCCATCATTTTAGAGCGCTTCCGCAGGACCTAGACTAGAGTGCATCATTAGGCCAACGTGTGCGAGGCGCTGTTCCCGTGGACATGAAAATGGAGACATCAGAATGTCCGCTCCGTCTCTTGGTCGCTCCCGAAACGTGGGAGCATGTGGAGAAGGTGTGGAATGACGAGATGCAAGACTCCTTCTCTGCATATGGTTGATGCGCCAGTTTGCGGTAGTGCGTAGCTAGTAACCTGTGCTTTGGATGCCTTGCTTCGCTGCCATGAGGATATTTCGAAGACGTGGGTGAGATCACCTGCTGGGCAATCCTCACTGGGGTCTGTCATGGCCTTTGGTTTGGACCCGCATCTTGCCAAACACTTAAAGATGTGGGCCTGCTGATTCATTCCTTCGCTATTTATTCCTGGCGATGATGAGGTCCCACATGAGGACCAAGCGACTGCAGCCGCTGCGCGGCCACTGCCTTTCGCTGGTTTCCCAGCTAGCCAAATTTGTAGCCCCACGGTAGCAGGACAAGTCAACTTTCCCCTTATGCACACATTCGTCCAGACGGCAGCTAGGGATGCGTTTTTTGTGCAAAGTAGCCAAGGACGATCGGCTGGATGCGCTCACGACAGAAGCATCCGACGTGAAACAGAAGAAGAGTGCTTCGGGGAAGACTCTCACGTCACTGTCCATGACCCGTCGTTTCGAGATTGTGAAAATGGTGCGGGATGGAAAGTCCCTTGGCTGCACAATGCCTGGTCCCGGCCATCAGTCATCAATCATGACTGTAATAGTCCTGGTCTGCGCCAGGAAATTCACACTCAGTGGCGCCCTGCAGCATTTTCGCGTGCCGTCGACAGTGAGCGTTTGCTGGTTGGCTTTTTGGGACATGGTGCTTTAGCAGCACCGGGTAGGAGCATCATGTAGACAGAGGGTTTCGGGCATGTCATGCCACAAGTGACAGACCAGGTAACCTACCTCGGCAAGGCCCTGCGCATCTTCGGTGACGAGCCGCACCTGCACGTTCCTTTCCCAAGTTCAGCGGCGTTGTGTTGGCTGTTGGGTGTTATGGCTTGAGTCGTGCTTGTGCTGGAGCTTGCTATTGCTGCCTCTGCCACTGATGCGTGCTAGGTGGCCTTCGACGGCAGCAGCATTGGGGGCACTCCGGTGGAGTTGTACAAGTTCCACAGCCGCGGAGCAGCAAGTTGTAGTACTTGTGCGTCGCCATCAATATGCTAGATATAGTAATAGAAGCGGAAACCAAGGTCCTAGCAACAATGTAGCAGCCTACGCTCCGCCTCTTGCAACCGGGCATGCACTTGTTACTAACAGTGCTTGTTACGAGTCTCGCTCTGCTGCGACTCGTCGTCATTGCAGACTCGGCTCGACTTGCTACGCTGATAGCATTGCAATCACACTTGAAGCATTTCTGCTTGAATCAAGTTCAAGACTCAGGAAAGCTAGAGGGCATGAAACAGTATAAGCGTGTCACAGTTTCCTTTGTATCTTGAAGAAAGGGTAGCCGATCTCCGCGTGCAGTCGCTTTTTTTGCGTCTCCATGTCGCTCGCAACTACTCTCGATGTCACCGAAAGCTTTGCCGACGACGAGTCCCCGCTGCCGACGCAGTCGTCAGCCCACGGTTCGGACCGCACAGCGGGTTCACCTCATGCATTTCTTGAAATTCCGGTTTGAATGCTTCAATTCAAGCTTCGGAGGATAATTGCACACGACTCCAGGAAATACTTCTTCCTTACAATTTAACTGTCTGGCTCAGCTCAGCTGCAGGACTACCACTGGAGCATGCTGCAGCGTGCGTTCGGTGGCATCAAACAGTCCTGGTATGCTACCCAGCAGGTGGTGCCGGAGACTGTGCTTGCTGCCCCTTGATTGCACAAACTTTCTTATGACTGTCTGCTGGCGGTGAACAATGTAATGTGGTGCACACAGCTGTCTGCCGTCGTGCTTGTGACTTCAGGAGTCTTGGCTCTCAAACGCTGCCTGGGCCAGTAGCTGCTGCAGTGGTGCCGGCACAGCTGAGATGGCCAGAGCAGCGCTGGAGAACATCGTAAATACCTCGGGGTTAGTCGACATGCAGATTTCTACGGTGGCCATGTGGGAGACTTCGCGGGTGATAATCTGATAGTAGTTTGTGTGGGTCTCTTTGTTTTGTTTTGCTCGAGCTACTTCTGTTATCTGATTCTAACTATATTTCTAATTCTAAGGAAAAGGAGCACAAGTGCCACCAACTGCTGCGGGACAATATGCTATGGTGCAGCAAGGTTTTGGGCCGCATGGAAGACCCGTGCATGTTTGGGAATGTCCTGGACATCTACCCTGAATTTCGAGATGAGGGGTCCGTTGCTGAGAAGCAGCAGCTCCTCTTCAACTGCCGGAGGACGCCCTCATGCTTCTGCAAAATACATGGAGTCGGTGCTTCAGCACCAACAGCCTGTCGCATACCATCCTCTCACTTCGACGTCAGTGGCCTTCCATGCCCGGATTTTTCCACAGCTGGGAAAAGACGTCGTGCGGAAGGCCCAACCAACAGTGTCTTTCTTGCGCACGGGCGCATGCACGGGGAGCTGCAAACACCGCTGCTTCTGATCGAGAATGTGCAGGCGCCACGTCTGTGCTAGTTAGGTCAGTGTCAGAGTGAGTTGCTAGTCGTTCAAGATCTTTGAAAATAATGCGTGTTGGTTTATCTACACCCACCCAATCCCAATCCTCCCCACTCCATGCTGAGGCCCTGGATATGCAGATGGTTCAGCAGACACACCCAGACTACGAGTGGTATCAGATCTTCACTGAGCCGGGTGAATTGGGATTTACAGCTACGTCCCGAGCACGCACCTACATCATAGGGGCTCACAAGACCAAGTGTGTTTGCTTGCACGACCCGTTCGAGCTGCATGATGCAATCAAAAGCAGAATAGCAGACTATGCACGCACGGCGGTGTCTGACTACCTAGTGGCTAGTGACCAAGAAATCCTGATGGAGGCACAGGACACCGGCCGAACACGCAATGTGGTACATCGGCCCGGCGTCCAGGACTACGCCTACTACTTGACTCAGAGGGAGCTTCGCAGCATGGGCATCTTGGACCAAAAGTACAGGGAAAAATTCGGCAGAGAACCCCACCTGGACGGCAACCTGGTCTATCATCTGGGCGACAATGCAGAATGGACTACAAATTGGAGTGCAAACAGCGGTGCATTGCCCACGTTCAGACTAGGCGCTGCGACCTCGAAGTTCTGGCTGCCGCGGTACAGAAGGTGGCTGACCTGCAGAGAGAAGCTGGTTGCGATGGGCTTCCCTGTGACGGCAGAGTGCGCCCACGCGCTGGGAACACCTGTCGTGTTTGTGTCCGATGTCAGGCGTGCCGCTGACATCTTGGGAAACTGTATGCATTTCACGACGGCGGGGGTGATGCAGCTCATAGCCCTCGCTTGCTTCGGGCCTGCAGACTTTGAGTCGTGGGGCCAAGGACAATGATTCTGATCTGTGGCCCAGGACCAACCATGCTCTCGTAAGTCTTGGTTGCTGCGTCACTGTGGAAATTTACGTGTTGCAGATGCACAGCTTAGTTGCTGAGTTCATTGTCAGACACTGTCATAATCCCCCCCCCCCCCAAAAAAAAAAAAGAGGGTTCCCAAAAAAGTGACAAGTCAACTGCACTCACTCAGCTACTACGACACATGAGGCTACGGTGCCTACGCAGCACCCGCTAACGTGCTTAGGCAGCACCCGCACCGCAAGCAAAAGTGGCTTCTGCTACGTTGAGGTTGGTTGTTGCTGCAGCATGCTGTAGCTGTGCTGCTTGCAATGCTAGGGCCCTGAAACGCTTGATCTGAAGCTTGCATGCAGATTTTTCAGGTCTTGCACAGGCTAGATTGACCGAGATCGTAGGTTTCGTTGCTCAGCACCAATGGCGCTGAGAGATCTCTTCGATACATGGCCCGACGGAACTCGGTTTGATGAACAGGCTGACGACGCCTTGTCCTTGCGATCCGATCCACCCGCTGCTCCTGCGGGCGGGAGAGCAAGGCGAAGCAACAGCGCAGCCTCACTCGAAGCTGACTTGAATGTATCCGAGCCTAAGAGGAGAAAGACCCCCCAGAAGACACCGCCAGCTGCTCCTTCTCCGGCCGCAGCAGCAACTATGCCGAGCCACGCTCCTGCGGTTGTGAGTGCCCAGCAGCAGCCGAGCCTCTGGCGTCTCGTCCCGGCTCCTTGGCTGACCCAGGCATGGCATGACTTGGCATTCTTCCCTAAACTGAGACTTTGGTGCTTGTGATTTTGAGACAAGGATTCTACTCTGAGGGAATACATGGAGGCATCCGAACCCATCAAAGCGGGACGGAGCTTTACAAACAAATTGGGCTCCAAAGTCATTCGCTTGGCCTTTTATGGCATGTACAGGAAGATGCCAACCGACGCTACAGATTCGATTCCTGAATGCCATTGGCTAAGGGCTATAAGGTTTAAGGGCTGTTAAATACTAGGGCTGTTAAATACTAGGATAGTTAGAGTTCTTAGAAAATTTAGTAAGGATCGGGGCGTCGTGCTTGAGTTAAGGAGTGACAAGCGTACCCAGATGGCCCAGCTCAAGAACGAATACCTGCGCTTGGGGCAGCCAATGCATGACTGTTCTTTGCTGGACTTGGTTCGCCGGGTCGAAATTGAATTTAGTAAGGACAAGGCCTTCGAAGTAGGACGAGGCAGGGGGTTTCGGATTGGGTGGGGTGTAGTGGCTTTAGTGAATCAGGGTACAGTGGTTCCGGGTTTAGGCTTTAAAACTTTAGATTAGAGGGTACATAACACAACACAATGCAAAACAACACAACACACCATAACTAATAACGGTTGCGTGCTCGCACAAATAAAAAAAAGAGGGAGACACGCACTGTGTAACAAAGACAGCAGTCACGCACAGGCGCCACGTGGCCTCAATTAACCCCAACCCCAAACCCCTAAACCCCTAACCTTAAACCCGCAACCCAAACCTAAGCCTAAACCCTAGATACTAAACCCTAAACCCTTCCCTGCGAGGCGGTGGCAACTCATGGCTGGTTCTTTGCGGTGACCAGTTCCGTAAGTTGCCGGAGCCGCAGAGTGGAAGCTGGGAGGTTTCTCTGCGTCATTCCGGACCCAGAACATAAACTCTTTGAAATTTCTGAAACGATGTTAGCCCTCAGTCTTGAAAGCCGAAACCCGTGATATTGCCCAGGTGAAGATCGATCCGGGCACGCAGCTGCCGTTTTTGAATGACGATGGCTTTTCCATGATGTGGGCGATCAGTCCCTTCCAGAGCAAGGCCCCAGAGCTGAAGTGAACCCCCGAAGCACGACATCCGAACAACAGCATCGCACCACCCTTGTCACAGTAACAAGAGACGTCAGTTGGAATGCTCTATACTAAACTAGAGCAGTCTGTATCCTGAATGAAACGAAACATGAATTTTCAGGCTGAGCCTAAACGTATGTGGCTCACCGCAGGAACAGGATCGTGACTACTTGCCCAAGTTGGACCTCGCCAAGAACACCCCGGCCTCTAATCCAAGCAAGCCTCCTGCCGGCACGACACACGGCGCAGAGGCCGTCAAAGAGGTCCAGCCACTTGCCGCCACTAGTACCTTGGCCACACAACCCATTCTTTTCATAGCACAAGGTTTGTTTTTGTTTTCATTCTTGATATCGATGGAAGGTGTACCGCCACCCGCTGCTGTCAAGCTTGTGTGCTACTGCGAGATGGAGCGCGGACACTGTGGAATATGCGGGCGCGGATTCATTCAGGAATCCATGAAGGGACTTCCCCCGAAAACAAGCACCAACCCGAAGCCAGACCTGCCAGCTACGGCCGCAGCAAGAGGCGGCCCTGAGACAGCATTGCCCGAACCTTTGCCTCCAGCTGCTCCGCCAGCTCCGGCAGGACTTCCGAGCCTGCTACCAGGTCAACCCGTCCTGCCAGCACCCAGCCCTGCTGCGATGCAAGTCGCAAGCCTGCCCTTGCCACTGCCACCAAGCACCGTGCCAGGTCCAGCTGCGCCGCAACAACTTCCGAGTCTGCTGCCAGGTCAATCCGTCCTGCCAGCAGCCCAAGCCGCGAGCCTGCCCTATCCACCGCTAGCAGCCACCGTGCCAGGTCTAGCTGCGCCGCAACAACTTCCGAGCCCGCCAGCAGCCAGCCCTGCTGCGATGCAAGTCGCGAGCCTGCCCTATCCACCAGGCACCGTGCCAGGTCCAGCTGCGCCGCAACAACTTCCGAGCATGCTACTAGGCTCCGTGCCAAGTCAAACCGCCCCACCAGCACCCAGTGCCAGCCCTGCTGCGGTCCGACCAGCACCCAGCCCTACTCTGGCGCTGAGCCTGCTGCCAGGCACCGTGCCAGGTCCAGCCGGCCCGCCAACAGCCAGCCCTGCTACGGTGCAAGTCTCGCCAAGTGCTCTGGTGCCTGCAGGCACCATGCCAGGTCCAGCCACCCCCGCCTCGCCGCCTTTGTCGGTAACGGTTGTGCCTTGCCCAGGCTTGCTCAGTCCCACACCGAAGGAAGCTTCGCCAGCTACTGCGCCAGGACAGTTCAGACGCCTGCCCCCACCCCTGCATCGCCCTGCTTCTGTGCCAACAGCCCCTGCGATGGGCCCACCGCCAGAACACGTGCCACCGCCAGGCAGCATTGGCACTGTTGCCAAGGCCGCACCCCTGCCCGCACCCGCACCTTCCATGTTCGAGCCGCCGCCACTTGGCATGCCGCACACAATGCCAGCAGCAGCTATCGACTTGCCAACTGGTTACATGCACACAGGGGCCCATGCCACGTCTTTGCCCTGCACAGGCGTGAACGCCCAAGCGTTTCAGTTCAAAGTGTAGGGTGATCTCGCAGCACAGGCTAAGCTATTTGTTTTGACGGATTTCGGAGAATTCTGAGCTTCAACATGTAGATGATTCGGTGTTGTCATTTGTTTGGGTTCGGGATCACGAGCTGCTCTAACCCTAGGGGTCAGTGGCTTATAATTTATAATATTACTAAATTAGAACTGAACAATGTAGCACTTGAGTGCTGTGCATCAATCAGTCGCATTAAATCTGGGATATGTATTGTCCACCTCACACAAATCATCAAACCGTATGCTTTTCCCAAATAAAACCAACTTACAGATTACCATCAAATCGAATGCTGAAGCTCGTGTAACATTGGGCCTTGACTTGCCAGGATCACGACAACAGTAACAGAGCGGAGTTTTACTTGACATTCTTTACAACAGCCACAAACCCAGAACCCTCAACCCCATAAACCCTAAAACCCGACGTCCTAAACCCTAAACCCTAATCCTCGAGCCCTAACTTAAGGCGGGTTTGTGTGGCATTGCGACCAGGCGGCTGGGAAGGAGATGGCCATCATCCTGACGGTGCAGGTTGGATACTTTAGTTTGGTGTTGCAGGGTTTTGTGATGTGTTGTGGTTGCAATGGAACAGGCACAGAACCTGGGCTAGATGGCTAGATCCTATTACTTTTCCAACGCATGCTGACAGCTGCTGTTCGCGAACCCTGAAGCCTAAACAGTACCAGAGGGGTGTGGGCCGAACCAAACTTGCAGGGCTGAGCGACACGGCGGCAGCAGCACCCGCAGATCCAGAAGGCCTGACAAGTTACGGGGGCAGTAAGTCTACATAGGACGGAGGCTAGGGTTTCACGGCTACTTGTGACCTACGGTGTAGGGTTAACCTTGTCAGGCTGTGTCTGGAGGGTCGTGCATGGAAGGATTCATGGAATATGTCTTGTAGATTTTAGTTAGTAAGGCTGCGATTTGAGGTTACGGCTTACAATGCGAAACGGAATTGCCTGCTTGGTTACCAGGTTTACTTCCCAGGGCAAAGGTATGGAACAGCTTCTGAGGATTGTATCAGGGTTCGCTTGGGTTTTCATATGCGGGTTTTTGTCTTTGAAAATGGTAGTATGCCTGCATCATCATTGAGCAAGTGCAAGACTAGTTTAATTGGTTTATAATATATGAGAAAATATTCAACATAACTGTGAAGTAGACGAGGAAAAAGTTATTGGATATAACTAGGGTATTTAGTTCTTAGAAGGATCGAGTTCAGATATCGAAGATATTGAACCCGCTGTGGATCACCGGTAGTGCTGCCGCTGGGGGGGTGCATGATTTGGGGAATAACACCGCTTTGCAAAACAACAAGACTTTGGGCTAGGGAACAACACTACTTTGACTTTGGGGAGCAGCACCACTTTGACACTTAAGGGAATCAGACCATGTTGGTTGACAACACCGACACAATTTTGGGGGGACAACACCAGTTTGGGGAACAACACCATTTTGGAGAACAACAACACTTTCGGGACCAACGCCACTGTAGAGAAACAACGCCATGTTGGGTGACAACAGCGACACAACTGTTGGGGGAAGAACACCAGCACCTTGGAGAACAACACCACTTTAGCAGTAGCAACTTTCCGGAAGAACACCACTTTGGCCCGGATCACTGTGGGGAACAACACCACGCTGCTTCCGCAGCCCCACTGCAAGGATCTGGCAAGCCACGCCTGCGAGACGCAGCAAGCAGTAACCCGTTCCGGAACACGGTCACGCGCGCGCAGCGCCGCGGCAGAGCGTGTTCCGCAACGGGTTACCAGGTCCTCCTAAGGGGGGAGGACCTGGTACCCCGCTCCGGAACACAGCGCTGTGGACCCGGCCAGGCAGCGCCGCAGACAGGCGCCGCAGAGCGTGCTCCGCAACGGGTTACCAGGTCCTCCTAAGGGGGGAGGACCTGGTACCCCGCTCCGGNNCCGGAGCGGGGTACCAGGTCCTCCCCGCTTAGGAGGACCTGGTAACCCGTTGCGGAACACGCTCTGCGGCGCCTGTCTGCGGCGCTGCCTGGCCGGGTCCACAGCGCTGTGTTCCGGAGCGGGGTACCAGGTCCTCCCCCCTTAGGAGGACCTGGTAACCCGTTGCGGAACACGCTCTGCGGCGCCTGTCTGCGGCGCTGCCTGGCCGGGTCCACAGTGCTGTGTGCCGGAGCGGGGTACCGAGTCCTCCCCGCTTGCGGAGGTAACCGCCGAGCGCAGGCGCACGCCGGCCGTGTTCTGGAATTCTCGGTGCGTTGCTCCTGTATTGGGGCTGCGGAAGCACAGATACTCACGTGGTTTTGTTCTCCCGAAGTCGTGCTGCTCCCCCAAAGTGGTGTTGGTTTGCGGAGCAAGGTGGTGTTGTTCCCCAAAGTTGCCAAAGTGGAGTTGTTCCCTAATCTTGTCCTCCTAAAGTTGTGTCGGTGTTGTCACCGAACATGGTGTAGTTCCACCCAACTTACTGCTGGCGTTGTTCCCCAAAGTGGTGTTGTTCCCTCGGCCCGGAAGTGGTGTTCTCCAAAATGGTGGTGTTCTCAAAAGTGGTGTTGTCCCCCCTAAAGTTGTGTCGGAGTTGTTACCCAACATGGTGTTATTTTGCCAAACTGGCGTTATTCCCCACAGTGGTGTTGTTCCCACGGCCCAAAGCGTTGTTGTTCTCCAAAATGGTGGTGTTCCCCGAAGTGGTATATGGTGTTGTTCCCCTAAGCCAAAGTGGTCATGTTCCGCAAAGTGGTGTTGTTCCCCGGCCCGGCGTTGTTCCCCAAGTCGGTGTTGTTCCACAGCGGGTTCAACATCTTGGATGTCTGAATTCTGATTACTAGTTACTCTAATTTTAACTCGTGCCTTGTTCTTCCTGCTTCGAGTCTAACACTCTGACCCCACGATGCCTCTGATCCAAAAGCTGGGTGCTGGAAACCAAAGGTTCCGGCGGCTGGGCTGACACGTCGAGCGAATGGCCAGCGGGCCTCGTGGTTCAACAAATAAGAAAATCCAGCCGCTACGCAGCTGATTATTGGAGATGTAGTCCTGCATCCAAAATTAACGGCCGTGCACCGTTACTGTTGGCTGTTGCGCTGGAGCTTTGTAACTGTAGGTATGGGGTTTCAGGGTTGTAATTGCAGGAGTATCAGGAACTCTTTTGCTAGGCTTGACAGACTGTGAGTCTAAATAATCAATGATAGCCAAGTCCCGAAGATATCACCCGCCACAGATGATGTTGCTCTCGTCAGCCATGGTTGCTGTCCGTCGGATCCTTCTGTTATCCCCAGGGTTTCCCTCTGCACTAGAGGCGACATGGGGCACAGCCACGACAGCGATTGGTCTGGGGAGTGGAGCTCCAGCACGGTTCCGCCGCAAGGCCCGGGTTTAGCTTAGGGTGTAGGGCGTCTGGGATTGAGTGCTTTTGGTCTTTGACTTCGGCTTTGGGGTTTGGGGCTTAGGATTTAGGCCTTTGAATCGGGTTTAGCTCTCGGCCGGCACACTCTGAAGTGGTATGAGTGGCAGACTCCCGTTTCAGAATGCGTGCAATTCTGACTGCATAGATTCATAGATTCAGATGTAGCGCAGCAGCCGGGCAGCCGTGCGGGTCAAATCAAGTGCGCCTCGCTGGTTGCACCCCTAGCTGCTAGCCATGTCCTCCTCCGAGCAGCATGTGACACCACCGGACAAGGTCAGGAGGGCACAGGCTTCCCCACCGGAGGCTGATGACTTGAAGACGCCACCGCGCATCAACAAGCGCAAGCGTCCCAAGACGTTTTCCTGTGACATGGAGTCCGCTATTGCTTGGCCCCTCATCACACCGCCTCGTCCAACCAGCCGCGGGCTGCCACTGACACCAGATGCTGGCCGCGAACACCAATCCTCGGCTGCACAGCAGAATCAGAAGCCTCATGCATTGGAGACTGGCAAATCCAACAAAGGTCCCTGAGTGGTTCTTTACG